ATTTGTGGAGTAGCAAAGGGAGTAACCAAGAAGCAGCCCTAAGTTACTTAAGGGGGGGGGGGTATGTTAAAATTCCCAATTATGTGATAGTTTAGTATTGACTATAATACTTAATAAATAAATAAGTYTGGTAATTACAATTGATATGACAAAGAATGCCTTTATTGGGCTATTAGTGCTAAAGGATAGGTGAAATACTCTGAAAAATTTTAAGTTTACCACGCCACCATTCTTCATTAACTAAATCACATTTTGTATTACTTGTTACTATTTATCATAGGTTTTTGTGATTTAAGAATTTTACTATATAATTATTTAATACATAAATTTATATACGTGATTTGGTTGGAAGATTTGACAATGCCTTTTGTAAAATAAATCTTGCTTTGCCAGATTTATTCAGTTTGAAGTACACAGTGGCACAATGTAGATAAGCATCAAGAGAATCACGAAACTTTCTGTTTATTTTTGTGATTAATTCTTCAAGTTCCTAAATGAAACAATAGCATTAAAAATAAAGTTAATTAAAGAAATAGGTACTTATCTGTCATTGCCCTACCACTGAGCCATATACAATTTATCATCTTGCTACCAGCCAAACTTACATCAGTAATCTATTCCAAATCTAAACTTTTAATATTTCATTGTATTTCTATGATATCTTATTTTTAAGTTAATTTATCATCTATTTATTGAAAAAATGGTAAATACTACTTAAAATATTTGAAATTCTWATGTATACTATTTTAATCACTAAAACATGTATAATTTAAGGTAGGTTACATCCAGTGGCATACCCAGGATTTTTGAATGGCGGGGGCTAAATCTATATCGATATTTGGTTCCATAATAAACGTAACGTTTATGCTTTGCTTATACTATGTCATTGTTACTAAAGATAATACACGTTGTATTCAATACCGTTTTTTAGAAATATCATGGTTTGTACTTTGTCTTTTATGATATATAATGTATTCCAAAACACGGCCAATGGGGGGGGGGGCTGAAGTCCCCTAGTCCCTCCATGGGTACGCCACTGGCTACATTGTAAATATCTTATACAAGGATCTTTTTAAAATTGTTTTGTTAACCTTAATTATGAAATATTAAAAAGATAAAATAAGTATACTACTACTATTAATTTTAAACAATTGATTATTATTATTTACATTTATTTAAATGTTTTGTAACCGTATATAAAAAATATGATACTACAACAAACAGTAGCAGCAGTAGGGTGATAAATTGTATACAATAAGGTGGTTAGGCAAAAACCAATAAGTACTGCTATTAATTTTCAAACTATACTTTTAACTTATTAGATTCTGCATATATATCCAATATTTTTATATAAATCTGATATTCGTCATTTGAACGTAATGCTTCATCCATTGTTTGTTTAAATGATTCCTATAATATAATATAAAAATTAATATTTATTTATTTCGTTTTTAAATATTAATATGATAATATATAAAGAAAAACATTTATGGTATTATTATACTCAGGCGGCAGAGAAAATGCTCCTGGACATCAACCAAAATTCGTTCCAAAGACTCATTTTCATAACTAAACCTTCCAAAACACTGGCCCTGTCAACTAAGGTTGATACTTTTCTAAATGTTCTTTTACCTACTTGTCTACCAAAAAGATAAGTACTYCAAACAAAATTAAACAAACAATTCAAACATGCTCACTAAAAAATCACCCATTTTTTAATTTAATTACTGCAGAAGTAGATAAGGCGCCTCACCAAAAAAGCCATAATGTTTATAACTCACATATTTAATGCTGTATTCAGATACTAATACTATCCAATGTTATGGAAATTATCTAAAATAATTTGTTTGCAAAATCTGACAAACCACTAGACACCTCGACCTCATTTAGACTTAAAAAATGTCTCCCTTTTTCCTTATTTCTATTAAATTAAATCAAATTAAGCAAAAAAACACTAACAAGTCCAATATAACTTATCAACTTCGAGAATTGCAAAAAATTAAAGTCTGTGTTCCACAAGATATACTATCCATTTAACTCTTTAATATATTATATGCATCTGACCAACCTACCATGTAACAAACCATCGTCAAATAAAAATAAATCGAGTTTTTAATCTTTTTACCTTAGTGCCATATAAATTTTCTAAATTTAAAAGTGCAGTCCAAATATTTAGTTTTTCTTGTTCTTCTCTAGAATCAATTACAGACAATGCTCTTTTGGCTATTGCTCTTGCTTTTTCGACTTCGGTAGCCTATAAATTAAAATAACATTCAATCACAATAATTATTGTAATTAAGTCGAGATTAACCTAAGAAAAATTGTATAGTTGAGTCTAGATCCAAGAATCAATTAAGTTTTAGTAATTATAAAATRAAATAAATTAATACTTGTAAATGGCAAGACATATATTTAATCCAAATAAATGAGCTGTTGGGATTAGACAACACTAATCTGTCAAAGTGATCGGCATTTTGTGGATTTGTTTCAATTTGAGTTAATTCTTCTTCAACTTTTCTAAGTCTTAGTTCTTCTTGCCTTTGCTCTTCACGTCGTTGAGAGCTATTTAACTTGCGTATTTTTTTCTTTTTCGGTTCATTGTCTTCGTCCTRAAAATTCATAAATTAGGTTGTAAGAAAATTACAACCATATGACGTTTTTTATTGGGATTCCCGTTCATAACGAGAATTAAGTTTGTTAATGGTTATTAATAATATCTATTGATAAATTAACAAACTATAATTTGTAGTGTCTTACTTTGTCAGAATCTTCCGATTCACTGTTATTTTTATTGAAATAATTAGGAGAAACATCCCAATCAAATCCAATTCCCTCGTTGGTTAAAATTTGCCTCTTTTTGTGTATACTTTTTTTGCTCATTTTT